CCCAGCAGCCCGGGGCCCAGGGGAAAAAAGCCTCTGAGGACGCCCCGGCAGCGGGACAGCCTCGGCGCGCCTGGGCTGCCCCGCCGCCTGTATACCCGGCATATAAGACGACCCCCGATTTTTGGGGGATGTTTTTTAACATCAAAAGTCGTCTTGTACGCTGGTATATACGGTAGTAATTACATTTTCAGTGCCTTGCTGGCTATGAATGGGATTTCTCATTTGTTTAAAATTAAGCAGAATTATATGTGCTTCCCTATACAGGCAGTCCCCGGGTTACATGGATCCGACTTACATCGGATCCCTACTTACAAACAGGGTGAGGCAACCCCGCACTAGCTGCTTCCCCCCAGCAGACCAGGGAGACGCGAAGCTAGCGCCTCCCTCCCCAGCAGACAAGGGAGACAGAGAGCGGCTTTTCTCAGCAGACACCTCAGCTTGAGAATAAAGGACTGAGGGAAGGGAGGTGTGGGAGAATAAAACTGAGCTCTGGAGAAATGTTTGGCTAGAGTTTCCCTTACAATATGTACCAGTTCCGACTTACATACAAATTCAACTTAAGAACAAACCTACAGTCCCTATCTTGTACGTAACCCGGGGACTGCCTGTATTTAGATCTGCAGGTAAAATTTTCAAAATTGCCTAAGTACAAAAGGTGCCTTAATTCCATTTTTCCAAGCTGACAAACACTTTCTACAAATGGCATCTCTCCTTCATTTGTTGCCACTTTCAATCCCTCAATCTTGGCAGGTATTGAGGATCAGGGTCAGCCCAAACAAAACAGTTTTTCTCTGCCAAGATTGTGCCTCACTCACATGCTCTCACTCTTTTCTAAGCTTGATCTTACAATTATATCTTACACTCAGTAAATGACAACTTGCCTAGTTTCTCTTAAATATATTAACTCCCTTCCCCCTGCAACATAATTTCAACAGTTTCACAACAAAATTGACACTGGAACTATTTTTGAAGCAGGAGAAATATAAGCACAGACTAGCCTAACAGTCCAGTCTGTGTGGCCTGCAAAAGCTAGACTAATAAGTGAATATGTTGAAAATCAAGACATTCTTACATATTTACAGAGAGACACAAATGCGAATTATTCATCCTGCTCTAAATTCTGAGTGAAAATGAACATATTATTCCTCAAATAAAGTATTAAAAATCCCAATAAAATTCATTAAATAAATGACTGCTGAACACTACATCCCTCTCTCCAATTGATACTTTAGTTTGTGATCTTTCCCTTTCTCAATCATTGCTAAACGCTTTCTACATTTTATATGTTCTTCTTAAAGGACCGTTATCTCTAAGTGAGTAATATCCCACATTATCATTACAGGACTACAAATATAAACATGAGACTTTTAGCTTCAATATTTATGCTAATATTTAAGATGTCTTTCTAATCAGTGCTCCTTTCAATCTGTTTAAGACAATTTCTGGAGTATTTTATGATAGACTACGTCATCTGGAATTCACACAACCCTTGACATCTCTTAGTTATCATCAGAAGCAATCTCCTCGCAAATCAGGCCACACCAAATCAAAGCAGTACCCGATTTTGACAAAACAGCAGACACAAACCTCACAGACATAGCTCTACTGCTACAGCGATTAACACCCCATTACACACAACATATCTTTCAAGACCCATGGATCTTACACATACCTACTACAGTGTACCTCATCCAGTGCACTAAAAACCTCAATAGCAAATTTTTGGTTGAAACCAGACAATCGCTCTTGAACGAACTCATACTGGAAAATGATAAAAGACAAGCACCAGAGCACCCGTGCATGAACACTTCCTACAAAGTGGTCACTCTATACCTGACCTATCATTCCTTGCCCTCAGAAGATGAACATATCTTTGCTAGAAACTAAAAATTAGTACTGGAAAGAGGCAGTGTATGTATGGCGTATTACATCAATCTAGAACGCACTATCAACACTTCCCACACAAACAGCTGCTTTTCACTGCTCTCTCCTTGCTTGTCTGTGACCAGAGAGTTGTTAATGGGCCACTCCTTCTTGAATGATTCCTTTAAGTGGGTTTCAACTACTTGTAATAAACAATCTGGTCAATCTTATGTTTAGCTGTGGCACTTTATGGACATATCTTTATATACAGGACTGCAACTGAGACACTGCAGCTCATGGTGAAGGCCCTCTTGTCTGACAGGAGAGCTCTCCTGTTTGGTATAAAAAATACTCTACCTCCATAAGTGGCAGGAAAAGCTCTCCTGCTGACATAGTGCTGTGCACATGGACACATAGATCAATGTAACTTATGCCTCTCAGGGGCATGTAATATTCATACTCAGCTGTAACACAAGTTTGCCAGCATAGACTATAGAGTAGACACAGAAATAGTATAGTGTGGTTTATACTACAGACCTATATAACTCTGTCCTGTGAAAAATCCAAATCTCTGAGTGGCACTGTTACACCAGCCTAAACTCCTTTTATAGACAGTGCTAGGTGGGAAAGTTTCCGCATAGCTGCATCCTCTCAGGGAGATAGGTTAACTATGCTGATGTTCTTGTCCTGCTCTGACTCTGACTAGTTGCCATTGTTGGGTTTAATTCCAGGCTTTGCCTTATATTTCTTACATGACCTTGAATGAATGAAGTAGTCTTTCTGTGTTTCTGTTCCCTATATATAATATGTCTGTCTCAGCTTTCCCTTTTCTAAACTGAGGCTAAAGGTGCTTCCCTACTTCATAGGGGTATTGTAAGAATTAATTAATTAATGTGTGTAAAATGCTCTGAAAATGAAAAATGTCAAGCATTATTAATATACTAATTGCAGCAAATTTTGAGATTAGTTTGGCAAATTGCCGGATGCATGAGTTGTTCCTGTAACATTGTGTTAATAATACATTTGAGACAAGTGGCAATGCAAGTTTTTTAACCCTCCATATGGACAATTTTGACCAGCATTCCTCTTCACCACAATTGCCCAGCAGTGGTAGAATGTATTACTTTTTGTGCCATTCCTATTTTTCATTGACCGCTAGTGTAATTTACCTGAGAATGGAAAGTATGTTACCGACAGCTTCTGTTAGCACTGATTTGACTTTGATTAATAAGTCACTGGGCTAACACTGTTTTTTTTATACTTTAGTCAATCTGTTTTTTTTTCACATATAGCTCCAAAAATTTAATGTGCTGTTCTGTTGTGGTTTGTGTTCTTCAGAAAAACAATTATTTGATTAGAATTAACTGTAATGGTAATAAAGAAAGTGCCCCAGAAAAGTAGAGTTTAATGTGTATATATGCCATACTAATAAGCTCAGCATCTACCTTGGTCATTTACAAAATCTTAGCACATCCTATGTTTTACAGTTGTGTTTACTCCTTCGTCGTTAAACATCCCATTAAACTTTGCACCTACATTGGCTTTATCCTCAGTCAAATGCAGTTCTGGGCATCACATTTTAGGGCAAATTGGAGAAGGTCCAGAGAAGAGCAACAAAAATGATTAAAGATCCAGAAAATATGAACTATAGGGGAAGACTGAAAGAATTTGGTTTGTTTAGTCTGGAGAAGAGATGACTGAAGGGGGACATAGTAGCTTTCAAATACCTAAAAAGGTTGTTATAAGGAGGAGGGAGAAAATATTCTCCTTAAATTATTCCCCTTGATGACAGGACAAGAAGCGAAGGATTTAAATAGCAGCAAGGGTGGTTTAGATCCACAGCTCATGGGTGAAATCCCAGCCCCAGTGAAGCCTCAGAGATTAAGAAACACTGAACAAAATGAAAAACCTAGCTTGCTTCACCCCAGGAAGAAGAGAAAGCACATCATATAGATTAATGAATAAAGTCAAAAAATATTTTAAATCACCCTTTCTATTGATTTTAGGAATAAAGAACAATATAATGACTTTTGACCAAATAATAGCAAAATAAGCTGGCTATGCATGTATACAAACATGCACTTTCACCACTGTAAGGGAAAACAGATCCCTCAACAGATGAGAAGCTTGAGCAAGTCTAGAGAGATACAAGGTATTCAAGCAACCTAAATGGACCTTGTGATATGTCAAACCTCAAACAGACTCAGTGATACAGGAAGGCAAAAATATTTAGGAACAATCTGTAGATTACTGCTTGCTTTTACTTTGACCCTGAGGCTGCTTACTACTGTTGTCACAGCTTCGATTGAATGAGTTTTGTTTCCAACCTTAAGTTCAGCCAAGAAATGGAGATTTAGAAATTCACTAAGATGATAGCTTTTCTGATGTAGCTCTGACAGGAACAGGCTGACCTAATGTGTTGGTAAAAGAAACTCCAAGTTACTTACAATTTTGAAAGGACTCAATTACCTTATAACTGAGTTCACTTGATCATACAAGCCAAAATGATTTCTTAGCAGAAAATTAACTTACAGGTAAAACTTTGTTGATATGACTAATTCATACATTCACAGTCAGCAGATCAGGTTCACCTTATGTAAGGACCTAAAGAAAAGGAAAGGACCTCCTTAGTCCTATAAAATGTATGTGCTCCTCTGGAAATACCTCTTCTTTGTTTCCATTTGTAAAGATTTCATTTTCCATTTTTTTTCAAAAGTCTCTCATACTTTGAAAGCAATAAAAAAGAGAAAGAATGGAAGGGCTTCAATATTTTCCTCAAATCAATTCAATTGAACATTTCTGCACCACTGCATGCTTATAGTCAATCTCTCTAATCCTTTGTCTCCAAAAAATATTTAGTTGACCTTTTTCACGCATACTTGCTTTGCTTACTTAATTTGACATATGTATCCCATGTTGTTATAACTGTACATGAAATAGTTTGGTTTAAATTCCATTTGTTATTTAAATTTTCTCATTTCAGGAAAAATGTGAAGAAATTGGAGAAGTCCCAGAGAAGAGCAACAAAAATCATTAAAGGTCTAGAAAAAATCAGCTATGAGAGAAGACAGAAAGAACTGGTTTTGTTTGGAAAAGAGAAGACTGGGAGGGAACATGATAGCAGTTTTCAAGTACCTAAATGGGTTTTAAAAAGAGGGAGAAAAATTGTTCTCCTTGACCTCTGAGGATAGGACTAGAAGCAATGGGCTTAAATTGCAGCAAGGGAGATTTAGGTTGGATATTAGGAAAAACTTCCTGTCAGGGTGGTTAAACACAGGAATAAATTGCCTAGAGAAGTTGTGGAATCTCCATCACTGGATATATTTAAGAGCAGGTTGGATAGACAGCCACAATTCCCTGGCTGCTAGCCTGCCTAGAGCTTTCCAGACATCACCAGACCCCCTGCTACCACTCTGTCTGGAAGTTCCAGGCTGCCCCGAGCTCCTCTGCCTCTGGTTTGGCTGTGACTCCCTGACTGCAGTCCCTGGCCACTGGGGCTCTCCAGTCCAGCAACTTCCATGGTCCTGCCAGACCAGAGAGTCCTGTTTATCAGAGGTTCAACCTGTATAATAATAATAATAATTAATAATAATAAAAATATTCCAGGATTATTGTTATTGTATTTATATAAAATGATTGAAGAAAATAGAAAATAATACTATTTCTAATTTGCCTAATTTTTGTGCTTCTTTGCTAAATGTGAAAGTTCACACGAAAATTTGTTCTCATCAGCAAAAATTTATTTGAAATTGGAATAACATTTTGGAGTTACTTGCTGATCCACAGACATTTTAATTCAGTTTTTCATAGGCATCTTGAGTCTTGAGCCAAAACTTGTCAAGAGGTGAAAAGTACATGGCATTTCTTCTCTTTGGCTGGTTGATTACGGAATGAGACATTTGTAAAGGTGTATTGATTTTTAAGATCCAAAAGAGTGGTAATTCAAATTAGTTAATAGATTAGGGATTTGATTATTGTGTTCTTGTACTTCACAAATTTTCAAGCTCTACACATTTTGTAAAAAATTTGCTTTTTTAGTAATAATCTTGGAAGGATATAAACAATTTTTATAAATGCATAATTATGGAATGAATCACATAGTATAGGGATTATATTTTATTTAATAAAGTCTTCATTATTTTCTTCATGTGTTTTCCCCTGAAAATTCTTACCATTTAGCAGGATTTGGGGAAAAAATCACAGCAATCCTGCAATTACCCTTTTCTGTGCCATTTCTGAGGTAGAAAAGCAGAGCCATATAAAGTATTTTGCACTATTTATGGGAACATATTCTGTGGTTTGAGAGGAGTTCAGTTTCCATTGCTTTGTATTCCTCTTGTTACATAACAATTCAGTTTATTCAAGCAAATAATACATCTATGATTACTTTAAAAGCATTTTTATTGTGCAAAAATATCATCATATGCATATCGTACAGTTCATCTGTTATACCTTTTAAAAGTAATAATCTTGTAAATGGTACAATGGTACTACTTCTACCCATGCCTTATTATTTAAAAATCTTATTTAGCATGAAAACTTCTTGAGGAAAGATATGCATAATACATTATGCACAAGCTGAAGAAACCTCTTGTGATTTCCAGCATCAAAGGTCATCTAGTCTTCTGAGATCTTAGTGACCTTTAAATTAATTTTCTATTTTATGGATTTTTATAAATTACTTAGTAGTGTGGATGAGTGCTTAGATCATAATATTTTGATTTAAATTAAAATATGAATGTCCATAAAACATTAGTATCCTTTAACCCAAGTAATTATTTTGTTTGTAGTGCTTATTTAATACAAGTAAGTGTTGGAGTGCTCTTTGAGATTACCTGTTACTTGTATAGTTAGACAGGGGAAAAATGGCTAATATTTATTTGGAGAGCAATTCATTTACTAAATTCCAAACAGATTGGGCTTTTATATTTTTCCTTTTATTAACATTTATTCTTTGTTTAACAAAAAAATAGTGTTAGAGATACTCAGCCATCTCATGATCACAAAAACAAACCAGCCAGCCAGCCAACCAACCAACCAAAATCCTAACAACCTAACAATGCAAAAGAACTATGCAATCCTGGATGCAAAGCACGACATGAAGGAGAACAAATGACAAATCCTGTTTTTATCCAAAAAATTGGAGAGAATGGACTGAGTTGAGTGCTAATTAAAATATTGTGCTACTACTAACAAGGTAAACATGTGCATTCATCAGTGTTAATATTTTTTATAGTCTAAAGTGTTTTAATGCATTTACAAAATGAGTATGTATTTTAATAGGTTTTGTAAACTTTTGCATCAGTTTGTTACTTCACTGCTGCTAATGAAACTATATAGGTGAAGCTGAGGGTAGAATATAGGAACATACTTGTATTATTTCCTGCACCTGGAGGATTCCTTCTACTATGGTCTGTCTCTGGTTCATACACAGCTCACAAGAGCAACTGTTCTTCACTGTTTGTGGACCTAATACAAACTACATTGACTTAAACTGAAGTTGGATCAGTTCCTGTGTCAGTAGGCTGTTTGTAGGAAATATAACTGCATTGGTGTTACGAAAAGAAATTCTGCCATATCAGAACTCAGAAAATGATCTGAGATATTCCACAGATTACTGTAGCATGTATTATCCACTCAACATTTAAAAAAAATACAAAAGGGATGGATGTTACACTAGTCTATGTCAATTGACTTTTCTAGGGTTATTCCTGAGTTTTTGAAGGAAAGCAGGCAATCAGAAATTTTCAGGTTTTAAAAAGTCATTAATGTGAAGAATGAATTGAATCAGGGATGATGTATACTCCCTCTCTCTCTCTCTCTCTCTCTCTCTCAGCAAAACCTACACTTTAAAGCACAAAAACTTCAGACTTTTCTACTGAAAACAGGACAACGGAAAAAAGAAAATTCAAATTATAGATATTAAAATTGATACACCTATCTCACCTCTAAGTTGGATACCAAGTGCAATTTGATCCCTCATCAAGCAAAATATGCTGTAAAAGATACAACTTTCCCTTCTTTTTTAACATGACTACTTTCTGAAGGCTCTAAATGAACTGCACCCAGGATTAGAGGGAATTATGAAAAAGAAATGCCTGACGAACATATAAAAAAGACTTTTATCTTAAAAGACCATTGCTGGTCAATTCTTCCCATGCTCTTAACGTGTGTGTCTTATTTCACTAGGGGGGTGGTAAAGTATTGGAATGGGTTACTTGGGGAGATGGTGGAATCTCCATCCCTAGAGGTTTTTAAGTCTAGGCTTGACAAAGCCCTGGCTGGGATGATATAGTTGGGGTTGGTCCTGCTTTGGGAAGGGGGCTGGACTCGATAACTTCCTGAGGTCTCTTCCAGCCCTATAAATCTAAAACTTCAAAAGGCATTTTCTGAATCTGTCACTAAAACAAATTTTTAAAAAAAGGTTATTTCAAATGAGCACCAAAGTCATGCTTTAATTATGAAAGAGGAAAACTACTGAAGAAAAAAATTCAAGGAAGGCCCACAATAAAATTAACAATAAGCTAACAAACAAAACAATAATCTGAGGGTATGTCTACACTGCAGCATTTTTTCAGAAAAATGGCCATTTTCCCAGAAAAACAATACTTACGTCCACACTGCTATTGTGTTCTTTTGACAGAAAGTCAAAAGAATGGAGGGGTTTTTCTGACAGTAGTAAACCTATGAGGAAGAAGCCTTTTAGGAAAAAACACAGTGTGTGAACACAGAAGAGGGTGTTTTTTTGAAAGAAGAGGCTTCCAGGAAATAACGCAGGTGCCCTGCTAGCCACTCTGTCCAAAGTAATCAGAACTCTGTAGTTCCTGTCTCCTGGCTGCTCTTAAAGCTACTGGCACCCGGGACAAGCCTTGTGGCAGGAAGCTGAGCCTGGGAGCTGCACCTCACTGCATGGCTCTGCCTTCCACCCAAATTTTCAGCAATGGCCCAGCCTCAAGCCCCCCAAGATCCTCTTGGCCCTCACAGGGAGCACTGGCAGGGCTCCCAGGACCCAGCCAGGGGCGGCAAATGCTGTGCATCATCATGGTCTGGGGCAGAGTTCCTGTCCCTCCTCGAACTGTGGGGGGAGGAGGGCATCCTTAGGATCTCCACTCCCGGCACCGAAACACGGACATCTATGGCTGAATGACTGTAGCTCTGTCCGAGAAGGGACACCCCCCTCCAGACATTGGAACAGGTCTGGAGTAAGGTGAAGGACATCCACCAGGGCTACGCCAGGGCCAGGGAGAGCAGCTCTCACTCTAGGGCAGGACCACACTACTGCCCCTACTACCAGGAGCTCCATCAAATCCTGGTGGGTGGTGAAGCACTGTGGTGGTGGACTCAGGGCTAGAGACACCCATCATCACCAACCCAGAGCTCCCTGCCAAAGAGGAAGAGGAGGAGGAGGAAGAAGAGAAGTTGCAGGAGGAGGAGGACATGGCCAGCACGGTCATCCTGACCTTGGAGCCAGTACCCCAGGCCCTGGATGTCTCACAGGCATTCTCTGAGGGTGGGGACAGAACCTGCAGAGGATGCAGATGCAGAGGGAATGGGGTGCAATCATCGCTCGACCTAGTTGGCCTGGACATTGTGCTACAGTCCATGCATGTGGAACCACGTGCAGTGCCAGTCTGAACTACATGGCCTCAGGACACAGCCCTGGAGCACCCCCAGGATCCTGCTCATAGGCTCAGGGGAGGCCCCACACATGTCTGACCCCTGGGGGGGGATGCCCTCCCACCACCTCCCAATGCTGGAATCAGGCTGGACACATGGGCACATGCATGACCCCACACAGACCGAGGAGTGCTGCACACAGCACACGGGCATGCCTACCCATGCAAGGCACCACCCACTCCCACAGACAGCGCTGCCAGGTGTAGATGTGTATGCTGGCCCAATAGAAGGCCAGGCTGCTCCAGGCCCCTCTTCTGCCCATGGGATCCCAGTGTGGCCAGACACTTCCCTGGTCTGCTTGTCCATGGAACAGGGGAAAGGGGGAGCAGGAAGTGTGGTCC